TCACCCCTCCAGGCTGAGGGTGCTCACAGCTCCCACTGTGCACTCCCAAGGGGCTTCACCACCACTTGTGGGCTCCCCTTCAGCTTGCCTGCACCTTGTAAATAGCTCCCTTTTAGTCTCTCTTTACCCGCCTTCTTTGAGTCTCTCCTTACTCGCCTTCTCAGTGCGCCACCTTGCTTTTCTCAGATACAAATTCCAGAGAAGCCCCAAGTTCCCACACGTGAACAGTTGGAGAGAGCCTTAAAGGCCAGCTTGGCCTCCCAAACCCTCCTGAACTCTCTGTATTCACACAAATTCCCTCTTCCACGGAGAGCTGCTGCTAAAGAACACACCTGCTAGAGAACCAACGTTGGCCTCTCCAAAATGTCCACGTTCCATCATCCCATCCTCCTTCTAGCTCAGCTCCATTACCATGGTAGGGAACGGGGATTCCAGCATTGCGGGTGAGGAGGAGGAGCCAAGCACAAGCTGGAGAGGGGCCAACTGTAATGAAAATCAATGACACAACACTACACTCCCCTTTAATTCTCTTTGTGACACACACGTTTGCCCTCAACTCCCCTGATGCTTGCACCCCAGGTCCTGGTGAGCAAAATGTCCCCGTGAAAGAGGTTTTGAACCTGTTCACACACGGAGACATCTGCACACACAAACACTTCCACATACACTCTCACACACGTCCACATAGCCCTGCACACATGCATGCATAAGCATGAGCACTTATTCACACGTACACACATAAAGGTAGAGCCCACATTTGAAAAACACACCAAACTCTCATTTCCACCCCGAGTTTCAGTGAGGCTCATGAGTCTTCTAGCCAGCTATCCGCAAGGACACATCTGGCTTGGCCCTGCCCAGAGTGGCTCACCTAAAGCAGGGACAGAAGGAGAAAGCAGAGCCAGCATTTCATAAAATCTTAAAACAGATCAACAGAAAAGCCCAGTGAGATTTCTTAGCCCAACATTACCCAACAAGTGTTCCAGCAAACATGATTCCCTGAGCTGCTCTATGAAAAAATAAAATTCTGCAGTCTAGGGAGTTTGGGAAACATAGCCCGCCATATTATCCCCTCTCAGAGAATCCCAAGGCTCTGTGAGGTCCTGAAGAAAAGGTTCCTGCTAAAGGTCATTTCGCCCAGTATTTCAGTGATAGATGATAGGTAGACAGATGGACAGAGAGATAGATGGTAAATATGTGAGAGAGGAAGGAAGAGAGTGGGAGAGAGATTGACATTGATTTTGAAGTTAAACTCCATGGAACACACGTTTAAATAACACTGACCTTCGAACTATTTTCATAAGAAACAGAGGCTCAGAAAGGGCTTTGCCCAAGGTCACACAGCTAGTAAAAGGCAAAGGTGGGACTAGAACCCGGGCCTCCTAATGCCCAGGTCCACACCCCTTCCAACAGGCCCTGTTCCATTTTTTTATTTAACTCTAACCCCCAGGAGTTCTGGGAATCAAAGAGATCAATGTTATTTTCAAAACTAACCCTGGTGTTTGTGATTGTACTTGGTGACTTCACATGGCTTCCCTCCCAGGCACACCGTTTGCTGAGGAAGAAGCCCCTTCCTGCACCCCAGACTCCCAGGTCCACTGTGAGGGGTGGCAGGGCCCAGGGCAGAGGCCTGAGGGCCAGGCCTGATGTGCAGTCCTGCCTCCCGCAAGGGCAGGGGCCTGGATACCCGGATCCTGCTACTCTACTTGAGGTGGGGAGGTAGGCTTCCTGACGGGTAAACCCAAATAGGACAAGAGCTCACCGTGCCATCCCCAGGGATGGGGTTGGAGAAATGAGAGCTGAGGTCTGACCTAGGCCTGGGTGCACACGCCTTCCACAGGGCTCGGCTACTAGAACTAGAGCTCTCCTCCTGCCCCTCCTCCCTCAGCCAAGGTCCTGGCACCCTGCCTCCCACATCCTATCCCGAGCTCCCAGCCACAGTGACCTCTCCCTCGCTGCACACTCATGGCCCAGAAGGATGCCCAATGCCCTCAGCGGGCAGGCACCCCCACTACCCCCCGCCACACTGTCACTGGGGTACGGCTGCCTAAGGCTTTCCGCAGGCACACCCTGTCTCCCCACGAAGCCTTGAGGCTTCCAAAGCGCAGGGCAGGCCCTAACTTCAGCTCCCTCCCGCAGGGACAAGTGCTAGGCTCTGCAGGGCGCATGCACAGAAGGAGGAGAACCACCCTGCGGTGCTGGCATGCTGCCCGACACGCAGCAGGCGCAGAGGTCCTGGGGTTAATCGGCCACTTCCTCATCCGACAGCTAAATAGAATTCATGTTGGAGATCCGTCACAGGACAGAGAAGCCACGAGGAGGAGTCTTCTGGAGGGACTCTGGGATGCCACCCCATCCATCAGCCTGTGAGGGTCTCAGGTCCCAGAACAGCACAATGTGGGGTGCCGAAGATGTATGCGGGCATTTCTGGCTCTTGAACTCCGATTCGATTATAGACTGACAGAGAGGGAGAGCCCAAGCGCTTCCCATTCTCCCCTCCAGCCCTTTAGCACAGCAGAAACTGAATAGAGAGAATTGTGGGGAGAAGGCCGTGCCTGTGGCCAGGCTCAGACGGGGCACTACCCCTCCCCAGCTCAAGGTGCCTCCGCAGACTAAATCTGGCAAGACACACTTCAGACCCAAAAGCCAGGGGCTTTTGATACCTCAACCAAAGTTCCATAAAATAGAAGGTTCAGCTGCAAAGACAGATTCTCCTGGCCTACATCCTCAGGAGGAGATGTGGACAGGAAGCTGTGGGGTGAGACTCATCTCCTGGTCTTTAGGCTAACATCCCCTTGCCGGCCATTTCTCCTCCTCACGTTCCCCGCCCCTGCCCTGCAGACCTCTGCGGGCTCTTGCTTGAGCCCACAGCTATGAGCAAGCAGCGATGCCCCCTGTGAACTCAGAAACCCAGCCCCCAAGTCTGGGCTCCAGCCCTCGCCCCCCCACCTTCCCCAGCCCCATCCATCTCTGAGGCTTTCTCTGCGGCTGGAATGGGGTGGGGGGCTACACCAGAGGCCCGCACCGTGTGGCACCATCACTCAGTCTTCTCCCTTTCCCGAGGAGCAGGGCCCCTGGGGGCGAGGGCAAGGCAAACCCCTCCCCAGCAGACGGAGCAGAACAGAGAGTCAACAGCAACAGTGTTTATATCTGCTCCTTTGTCTGGGACACACAGCCCAGTGCCTGAGGGCTTGCCAGGGTGGCCTATTGTCTGGCACTGTTTGCCTTTGGGGCGAGAGGTGCCCTGGAGTGGGAAGAGAGAGGCCCGGTGGGGGTGGGAAGCAGGGCCCAGGACCACACCAGGCAGCCAGCCTTGGTGCCAAAGGCCGTGGCTCATGAAGCCCCTGGGCAAGGAGCCAGGTGCCTCCCACTCTTCTGTCTGCAGGCTCAGATGACAGGACAGGGCAGGAACTTCCCACCTCTCACGAAGACCCCTCAGAACCATTGTCTTCCCTCACCCAGGCCCCTCAGGGCCCCCAGATTGCTTCTCAGGGCTCACTCCGCCACCCCTGCACAGCCACCCTCGCCCCCAACCCAAGGAAGTTAAGGAAGCCAAGAGACACTGCTAGTACTTGCCCAGAGGGGACAGAAACAGCTCGGGGAGAGCTGGGGACCTGCTTCTGGGGCGATGTCCAAAGTCGGTCCGCACGTGTGTTAGAGGCGGCTGGCCTTACGACTCCGTCTTCCCCAAATCACCGCCTGTCCTTCGAGTGCCCTCCAACCCAGCTCCTCCACAAGCGGCTCTTCCGTCAGGGCTACGTCTGATCACACGTAAGCACAGAACCACTCCACGTCCTGCCTTAGCTGCTCCTAAACTGAACGAGGCAGCCTGTCACCTGGAGCTGGGGGACCCTGCGCAAGTCACTTCCTCTTTGATGAAGAGGGCCCGGATTCCTGGATCTCTAAGAGCCCTTTCGGCTTCAAAGTCACAGAACCAGAACCCCAGGGCAAGGATCTGAAGCCCTCCTAGACAGCAGAGTGGAACCTGATCCTACAGGGATGCAACAGGAAGGAGCCTGCCTTCGGCCAGAGACAATTCAAGCCACCAACCACTATGCGGTTCTATGCAGGCGTCTCTACCACACTTTGTGCATAGACCACACTCTGAACTATATACCACACGCTGCATATTATCACACTGTAAGGTGTGATACACATTTTGAAGTATATTCCACACTTTGGGGTATACACACACTTCAGGGCATACAGACACTTTGCAGCATGTAACACTTTGTGTAGACCTACACACTTGGGCTATATCCCATACTTCGTGTATCTACCACACTCTGTGTAGAGACTTCCCTGCTGGGAGCATTCCCTAGTGTTAATGGGACTCTGGCAAGGCTCTGAGGTTCAGAGTGCAGACCCTGGAGCCAGATAAAGTTGGGTATGATGCATTTCCACCACTTGTTAACCTTGAACAAATCACTTGCCCTCTGAGACTCCGTTTCTTCACCTGTACAAAGGAGATAATAATAGTACCTACCTCATAGGGCCTGGGGGGGAGATTAAATGAAGCAGAGCCTATAATGGGCTCACCATAGCGACCGGCACACAAGAAACATCTGGTAAAGGGCACCTGGGTGGCTCAGTTAAGCTTCAGATTAATGTCCTCTGGAGTCATATCAGGGTCATGAGCTCCAACCGGAGTTGAGCCCCTCGTGGAGCCCCTCCTCTGCTTCCACTTGGAGCCCTGCGATGGGCTCAGCAAGGGCTCTGCTTCTGGCTGGGCTCGCTGGGAGTCTGCTGCTCTCCCTCTCCCTCTGCCCCCCCCCCCATTGCACGCATGCACGCGCTCTCACGCCCTAAAACAAATCTTTAAAAAAAAGAAACACGTGGTAAATGGTAGCCTTGCCATTGCTCACACTTTCAAAGGTGAGTGTTTTATAATGTAATGTACTGTTTAATTTAAAAATTTTAATTGGAAAAAAAAAATATATATATATATATATTCGGATGTTCCCGTAAAGCTTTGGAAACTCAGATAACAGACAGAACCATTTAATTCATATTTATTTCACATTTGATCTGTAAACTTTTTATTAAAAAAAAAATCCACTGTCATTAGCAACGTGTGCTGCCATTAGTTTGTCTTTAGTGAAATAAGAGCGCAGGCCTTAAAGAGTCTCTGTCTGAAACGTGTAGAAACTCCGATGTAAACACGAGGTGTCCGCCCTCTTTCCTTGATTTTGGGAGTTCATCAGTGACATGATCTCAACCAGAAAAGCAGGGGGGAAAGGACAATACTTTGATACCTAAGAGCTCCCGAGACAGGAACTGTACAGTTTGGCAGGCTCATTTGTCTTTTCGAACTGTTTACCTTGGGCAAATTGTATCAGGTTTGCTTCTTCCACATAATTTCCACTCCTCCATCTAAAAACAGCAGCTAAAAGATTTCTTGCAGTCAGCACTTTTGGAGAAGGAGGGGCAGGTGCACAAACATACAAGATAGAAACATACATATTCTTCAAGCAGTGGCCCTGGAGAGAGGGAAGGTGGGAGAGTGGGAGGGAGGGACCCAGGAAAGAGATACTTTTAAAGTGAGTTACTGGGGTGAAGGGTGCATCAGAGGATAATGGCTTTATACACAGGGCTGCTGCAAGGCAGAAAGGTTCATTTACTTCTGTCTTGGTCCCTCCTTGTAATATTTACATAGGAGAAGGCAATTATGCTGTTAGGCACAGGAAAAAAATGGACAGAAATCTTTTCCCCCTCAGGAAATCTCAAAGCAGGTCCAGGCCCCAGGGACAGTCACCAGTTGCTGGTGAAAAGGACACAGAAGGAGGTAATGACACCAGGAAAGGACTTACTTTGCAAAGGGGCTTGGCCTGAACCGAAGACAGTGTGTCTGCCTCAAAGGCATCTCCAACAGCATCAAAAGCCCAGACACCAGGGACCCTAGGGTGTACTATCAAAAATAGTGTATATTTACAGTGGGCGATGGGAGGATGGGCAGGGCTGCCCTGAGCATCTGTTTAAAAACAGAGTTAGGGGAAGGGGGAGAGCAATTAGCTGGGGCTGGGTAACCCCCATCCGTTAATCCTTTGTGAGCCGTACCCTCTGGGGTCCGTTCAGTGCTCGCTTGCTCTGATCTGCATTGACAGCTGGACTCAGGGGAGGTGAAAATACCTTTAGGAAGCAATACTCAGTAGGGGACTCCCAAGAACCCAGGAAGATCGCGCCAAGTCACAAGGGGCCCTAGCAACAACTGGGGGGCCCGCGGCCCTCCCAGCCAGTTCTTTTCCCTGGGGGGGGGGAAGCAGAGGCCCACAGGGGGCCACAGGGCAAGGCCTAGCCAGGAAACACCGAGTAGGCAGCACCCGGGTTTCAGTGTGCTGGGACTGCAGAGACGAGCCCCTCGATCCCCGCCGACTGCAGTGGGCGCCAGTCTGTTCGCGGGTCGCGGACCGGGCGCTCACACGATCCGTTTCCTGTCCCCCCGGCAAAGGATCTTCTTGAAGGCCCGGCGGAAGTCGTGGTTGAAGATGGTGTAGATGACCGGGTTCAGCGAGCTGTTGCAGTAGCCGAACCAGAAGAAGAACTTGAAAAGCGTGCGCGGCACGGAGCAGCCCACGGCCGTGAGCGTGTAAGTGAAGAAGAAGGGGAACCAGCACACCACGAACACGCCGATGACCACGGCCAGCACGAACGTGAAGCGCTTCTCGCGGTTCTGCCGCCCGCGCCAGCGCGACGCCTTGGCGCCCCCGCCACGCTCCGCCCCGGGCCCCGCCGCCGGCGCCCCGGGCCCCGTGGCCCCCGGCCCGCGCCGCGGCAGGCTGTCCCCGGGCTTCACCTGGCTCGCCCGGGCCTTGCCCTTGGCCCGGGGGCCGCGCTCCGGCCTGCGGGGCCCCGGGGGCCGCTCGGCGTGCTCGGACGACGAGCTCTCCTCCAGGTCCAGCGCGTCAGCGTCGCGCGGCCCGGCCGGCGCGGGCTCCCCGGGGGCACCGTTGAGCTGGGCGGGCAGCGGCTCGGGCTCGGCGCCCACCGGGCCCACGCCGCGCTCCGGGCCCAGGCCGTTGGGCCTGCGCTCTGCGCCCCCCGGCGGCGCGGCGGCGGCGTCCGGCCCCCGGCGGCTGGGCGGCACGCGGGTGCGGCGCTTGGCAATCTGGTAGATGCGCACGTAGACCAGGATCATGATGAGGCAGGGAGCGAAGAAGGAGCCGATGCACGACGAGATGACGTACCACTTCTGGTCGTTGATCTCGCAGCGCGGCTCGGCCGGCTGCGGGCCGCCGCTGCCGCCCTTCTTCTCGATGGAGATGAGCGGCGGGAAGGAGATGACGGCCGAGATGACCCACACGGTGACGATGATGGCCTTGATGCGGCGCGGCGTGCGCTTCAGGTTGTACTCGATGGCCTGCGTGATGGACCAGTAGCGATCCAGGCTGATGGCGCACAGGTGCACGATGGACGAGGTGCAGAAGAGCACGTCGAGCGCCAGGTAGATCTCACACCACGCCTTGCCGAAATACCAGTAGCCCATGACCTCGTTGGCCAGCGAGAAAGGGATGACGAGCGTGGCCACCAGGATGTCGGCCGAGGCCAGAGACACCAGGAAGAGGTTCTGGGGCGCCTTCAGCGCGCGGCTTGTGAACACCGCGATGATGACAAGCACGTTGCCGAACACCGTGAGAAGCATGAGCAGGCCCGCCAGGCACACCAGCGTCAGCGTCACCTGCAGGGAGTAAGGGGTGGCCCAGGCGCCGCCCCCTGGCGCCTCGGTCCCGTTCCAGCTCGCGTTGCCCGCGTCCGGCTGCAGGGAGCCCATGGGCGCGAAGCTGCCCTCGGCCAGCGGCTGCTCCTGGCGGAACATGAACGCGGGTGCCCGCTTGCCTGGCCTGCTGCCAGCTGCCTTCTGGCCCTGCGCCAGTGGGTCCTCCTCTTCCTCCCGCGCCCCGCTCGCCCTGCCGCGCCTCACATGGGGAGGGGGCCGCAGGGACGCCGGCCCGAGCTGCCGGGGGGTGGGGGCTGGGGGGCGCTAGCAGCCCATGGGCCCGGCTCCCGCGAACGGCGCCCGGCCTGCGCTTGTGGCCCTCGTGGTGGGCGCCTTCTCCTGCCCAGCTCAGCACAAGTTTTATTTCTAAGCGGCGGGAGAGGGTAGGTCGAGCCGATGGGGAAAGGGAGATTGATTCTTCAAGAAGGGAGAACAGAAATCATCGGTGGCCTGATCACTTGGAGGGATGACAGAAAATTTAAAATCTATCTCTATCTTGACTCTTGAGCCTGAGCGAAAGCGAGAGGTCTTACCGTGTGCGGGGCCCGCCCCCACCCCGGGAGGCAGCCGAAGGGCGCTGATGCGGGCCTGGGGTCCTAGGTCTGTCTTCTTACATCCCCGAAGCAGCGATTACCGACTCCCTCGCTTTCCCCCAGACGCGGCGGTGCCGGCCGGGCCCGGGCTGGGGCTGGGGTGCGGACTCTGCCGCCTCTCCCGAAGCGCCGCCGGACTTCCAAAGTTGCGTGCCCAGCTGGGGCTGGGGCTCAGCGCGCGGAGCTCGGGGGCGGCGGCGGCGGGGCGAGCCGTGTGCGGGCAGCATGAAGACGCCCCCGTCCTCAGGTGGGCCGGGGCAGGTGGGCGATCGGCCCTCCCGGAGCCGCGGCCGAGGCACAGGGTCTCCTGGGCGTTGGCCCGGCGAGCGGCGGGCGCTGAGTGCAGCCGGACGGGCCGGGGTCCGAGGGCAGCGTGAGTTGGGGCAGGAACGCAGGGCTAGGGGAAGAAGGTGCTGGGGGTGGCCGGGCGGCGGCGCGCCGGCTGCTGGGCGTCTGCAGCGAAGCCCGGGCCGCTGCTGCTCCGCGGCGCTCACCGTGGACTGGTTTTATAGCCCCAGGATCAAGCTGGCGTTGCCGAGCAGCCGGCGTCAGCCCCCACGTGGGAAACCGACCCTCCCCCGCCCCTTGCGCCTCCCCTCCGCGGGTCTAGCGCCCGCGCCCCGTGTGGGACCTTGGGGAGCGCTGGCCCCCTGGCCGGACGGGCTCTTTGGAGAGGCGGGTACCTGGAGCGAGGGGTTTAAAGAGCGTGCCCGGGGAGTGGGAGCGGCCCCTGCTGGGAATTGGCCGAGCAGCTCCGGGCCGGCCCAGCAGAAAGCAGCGGGCCCGGGGAGGGCCCCCATCGAGCTGGGTCCTGGGAGGGAAGAGAGTTGGGGACCCTGGCCCGAATCGGGAGCAGCATCCACCGGTACCAGTAGCATCCGAAGCAGCCTGGTCCTGGCGGCGAGGAGAGTGGGGTGCTGGTGAGAAGGAAGGCACGCGTTCGCCTCGAACCCCCCGGGGCGGAATTGGGAAGTACCCCCCGGGGAGCGGGACCCGCCCAAGGCCAGAGCTCCGCTCCGGGGAGAGGAGGCCACGTGTGGTCTGAACCACAGAGGAGTGTGCGGGACACGGGCGGCCGGGGTCCGGACCGCGCCCCCTTCCACGGCGGTGAGGAGGGGTCGCGGAGGCGGCGGCTACGCGCCACGACTGAGCGAGGGCGCACTGACACCTGCTGGCAGCTCGTCGTCACGGCGGCCACGCCGGGCGCTTGCTTCCGCCTCTGCAGTCCTTTGCCTACAGCGCCTTCTCCTATTTCAGGACAAGTTTGGGTCCGAGCTCAGGAAAGGAGAAGCCAGATTTTAAATTGCACTTTGTCACGTTGCAGAAATCTTCCTAAAGCATACACGTTGTGTGTCGGGAGTGGGAGTTCGCCTGAGAAAGTCACGTTGGGAAGGGCTCAGCCGGCCATCCGAGCCCGGGACTGGCATCTCATCCTGGCCAAGGCACGGCCCACCGTTCCCTCAGATCCCAGAGGCCTGGAGGCTCCCCTAATGATGGCCCAGTTCTAGCCCGCTATGAACCATTTTGTCTTTGTGGAGGCAGGAAAGCTGGACTCCAACCCCCCCCCCCACCGCCCCCATTCCAGATGCATACACACCGTCTTTTTAGTTAAGGAGGGGGGTGCTGGTCAAAAGAGGAGAGAATCTTTTCCATGTTCTTTCTGACGGGAATAGCATGGAGCGAGGTGAATGGCTAGTTTTTCTGGGCATGCTGGTTGCCCTACAATAGATCTCGACAACTGCTAGAGTACCAGCTTGTATTATGCTATCTGCAGGTTTCAAATCGGCAGGCGGTTTAAGGGTAAGCCCAGGAGGATAGGATCTGTTAACAGGAGAGATTAACAGAGAAATTAAAGAAAAGTCGCCTTATTGAAGGACCCGATAAAGCAGAATACCTTATGCAATCACCTAAGCTGGAAGTTCAAAATCCAGCAGATCACCTCTCTGCAAAGCAAGGTGCAGGCTCAGGTCTGGCTCCGGGATCGGGATGAATGCAGGGCGGTGAGCATCACATTCAGCCCCAGCTGATGTCTACAGCCAGTACCAGTGATACAGTCATTGAAGTAGCCTCTCTGGATGCACATAGGAGGACTGTATTCTTTCAAAGTACTTCACAGATCTCTCGTTTGACTTCAGTACTTTTCTCTCCCAAACTCTGATCCAGTCGGGTGACCTCTACCAGTCTTAATTCCGAGGAGCCAGAAAGCTCTTTTCTGGAGGATCTAAAGGAAGCTGAGAAGACAGAATTTGCTCCCTCTGTTGAGCTCATCACTTCCCATCTTCTGCTCAAATCTTGGCTCTGAGTCTCCTGGCAGGTGGCAGAAACATGGCACAGACTCGGTTGCCCAGGTGAATACACTTATTTTTGCACAGCAACCAGGAGCCCCTAACTTCAAGTATGAATGATGAGAGAGACAAATATCCAAGGTGGAGGCAGTCTGGGGCTCGAGGTGTTGTTCACAGAACTTAGGGAGGGAGTCCTAGATGGGCAGGGCTGCGCATCTCCCTATCCGCTGCGAACACGCAGCTGTTCTCCCAGTCTCATTTCAGAAGCAAGAAGGAAAGTGAAAACCCAGGCCGAAGCACTTTCCTTTCTTGGATCTCTGCTGCTAGCCTGTGTATGACACCTCTTGTCACATTTTCTGAACGCTTCCCAAACAGCCAGTCAGTTCCTTAATTCCTGGGTTCGGAGTCTCTTCTACTAAAATGAAAACAGGTCTTTCAAGGAACTAAGGTCTCTGAGACCAGCATACAACACTTAGGGGCTTTGGCGAAGTACCTCGTATGATCCTGTCCTGGGCTGTGTCCAGAGCCCTTCACCTGCAGAGTTCTTCCTCCTTCTTCTTGTACATGAACCTTATCACCAGAGGCTCTGCCTCCTTAGTCTGACACAAAGGGTCAGTCTATCTGAGCTTACAAAGCTAAGTGGGCACCGTAATTTTTTGCTAGAAGATAGAGTGCTGCGCTAGCTGAATGAGTCAGCCTGAGCAGAGAGAAAGCCACCAAGACAGTACTTCTTAACCAGGCCTGTAAGGCAGCACTGCCCGGGAAGGTCAAAGACACTTACCAGGCTCCACGGCACAATTATGATTCATCAGGTCTTGGGTGGGATGTAGCATGTGTATTTGAAAAGGTTGTTTGGCAGGTGCTAACAAGCACACTCAAGACTCACTGCCCTAAGCAATACATCTCTGGGGCAGGAGTGAGGAGCAACTGTCTTGGTGGGGGCAGGGAGGGAGCGGCCAAACGCCCTGAGGATTTTCAGCAAGCCAACCTGAGCTACGAGAATGTGCTCCAGATTGAGGATCACTGCCCTGGTGGGCCAAAGGGACAGCCAAGGTGGGTATCACAATCCTCAGGGATCTGAAGTAGAACAGGTGAGAGCCACTGCAATATGGAGGTTGACTTTTGTGGCTTGAGGAGTCACCTCTGGGCATACAAGTGGGGATCCATCATTATTGCTACTATTAATAAAAATAAATACTGTTTATTAGCACTAACCCCATACCAGGCACAATGCTGAGCAGTTTATGTACTATATACATTTTATATAATTCCCCAGAACAACCCTATAGTGTAGATATGACTTGCCTTTACAGCTGGGGAAAACAAGGCACAGAGAGAGAGGCTAAGTAGGGTATTCAGCTAACAAGTAGCAGGGCCACATCTGGACCCGAGGTTTCCTGATTTTAAGCCCATTGAGCTTTCTAACTGCCTTTCTGTGGATGTCTGTCCTCTACCACACTGACAAAAGGAAACCTGCAAGAGATTCATCAGAAATGAGAGTGTTGACGAGCTGTCAGATCCTCCCTATATCCTTTTCCTCCCAATCCATTGTGTGGCTGCCAGAGTGGGACATATAGGGCCAGATGTGTTCCTTCATTCCACATCTGATGCTACCGCATGGGAGGAAGCATCAAGTATACTCTATACAAGACTGAGCATTTTCCCATGGCCAGCCTGACGGAGAGCCAACACCACAGTATTGATTATGTCCTCGCCTTGATGGAAGTCACAGCTCCCTCTCATGGGCGCCCCTACATATTTCTTTCATGGCTCAGGTGGACTTCCATTGCACTAGCTCCCCTGTTCACTTATAGATAGTATAGTAAGGGGAAAGGACTGTTCTGTTCATCTTTGTACTTCTAGAACATACCTAAAACAGGCTTTCTAGAAATCAAATTTCTGGAACCTACCCCTTGGAGATTCAACAGGACTATGGTAGGACTTGTATTTTTAACAAACACCTGAGTAATACAATAAATACCAAAATGTAAGACACACTGGCATAGATATTTGATAAATATGTGTGTGATGAATGCATGAAAGAATTAGTGAATGAATGGATACTACTTTCGATTAAGGTATCCAAGAAGGAAGAGGCCCAGAAGAAGGTGCCTAAAATGGCTAGCACTTCATTCCCAAATCAGGAATTAGTTGAGGTATCTTAACTAGTTCAGAGATATAAGATTCTCTCATATTCTATTTATCTATCTATCCATCTATCTCTGTCTCTCTTATTATCTCTAAAAAAAATGTAAGTAATGAGAGATGTTCTATTTAAAACTATCAGCTAGGCAATTTACCAATAAATGAAAGTAGCTTAAGCTAAATAATCTGTTTGTCCTGTAATTACATCTGTAATTAAAGGGTCAGGCAACACCAAAATGTACCTTGACTTCATCTAAAGGGAGTGAGGGAACTGGGCAGGAGGTGTTATTAATAGTTTACTTTTTCTTTTCCTCCCTCCCTCCCTTCCTCCCTCCCTTCCTCTCTTCCTTCCTTTTCCTTCCTTCCTTCCTTCCTTCCTTCCTTCCTTCCTTCCTTCCTTCCTTCCTTCCTTCCTTCCTTCCTCCCTCCTTCCTTCCTCCCTTTCTTTCTCTCTTTTTCTCTTTCTTTTTCTTTCTCTTTCTTTCTTTCTTTTTTTCTTTCTTTCTTTCTGAAGCCTTGACTAAGAAAAAAACGACATGCCTCGTTAGCTTGCGCTCCTAGGCTGTGATATAAGCCTCACGAATAGAAGTTTGGACACACAAACGTAGGCCACACACCCACGCACACAGACCGTACTTAAACACACATTCTCAATCCATCTGAACACAATGAGCAGGTGGGGAACACCATGTTCCCACTGCTGCCCCTGCCATGTGCACAGCTGGAACCAAATGCTGCCGCGAGCTACAGACAGCTGTCAAGTCCCTACGTTGTCGGCACGGGGGTGGTGGGAGGGCAGTCACTAGAAACAAGTTCTGTTGCTCCCTCTGAGCCATTATGTGATTCCTCCACTTTCTTGTACCTGTGCCCAAGCCCTTCGGGATCACACTGTAACCGAAGGTGAACGTAAGCCAAAAGAAAAGCAACGACAAGAGTGTTGTTGTTCCGTGCTACCTGATTTCCCACCTTCCGGGCGTCTCCTCACTACCTGCCAGACCAGTCCTGCTGGACTCACAAAAACAAGGGAGAAGTCCTGCCTCTGCCTCTTTGTCTTTATCTCTAGACTACTAGCCCCTCTCACCATCATCCTGGGAAGATGAAGCCGGGTGTCTTCTGGCCCTGCAAGGGCCCCTGGCCAAGACCAGGAAGAGAGCATGTGCCAGGATCGGCGATTCCTTCAGGATGCAAGAAAAGGCTAGGCTCCTCTCTGGCTCCTTGCTGCTGCCCACCCACCCCCTGCACCCGGCCCCGTGGGCCACGTTTGTGTTTCCACGACAGTGTGACCGTGGAGGGCGGTGCCCATACAGGAACCTCTCGTCCTCACCTCCTGCAGTCCTCCAGGGCAGTCCCCATAAATAAGTGCCCTTTCCCACCACATCCAGGTGATGATCTTGCCTGTTTTGTCCAGAAGCGTAAGGAAAAGCAAACCTCGAATCAGTTATGTCACATGATGGCTGTTCATTCTCAGGTATAACAGGTGAGCCAGAGCCACTGCGCCTGGGTGTAAAGGAGACATTTGTCACCAGCGTTAATAACTCTTAAGCTAACATTCATTAATCTAGGTGGGTAAGGTGAATTCACCCTTCACATTTACTCAAAGAAACCATGGAGACGCGGTGCCTGAAACATAACACGCACACACGCACACACACGTACACACACATACTATTTAAGAGATGGTCTGGCTATCAATGCTCCCTGGAAATGTTTTCACAAACTCCAAAAGAAATCCATCTTTCTAACCAGAAAAATCGGAAAGGGGATTCCTGGAAGCGTCCAACTGATGGCGGCAGGGGAAGCCAACGAGAAGGGAGACCGGGTCCTCTAAGTCCATGTGCGGCCGACGTAAGCCCCAGCTCCCCTGTGAGCTGCGCATGCGTGTGACCGACAGAACGCGGCGGAGCAGAGCCTTCCAACGCTTCAATTTGGAAACAGTGGCCGTAAAAGGAAAGACAAAACCTGGGATCCAAAACCAACCTTCACACAGGGATGTATTTGCTCAGTCTTATAATACGTGTAAAATAATTTCAGAATTGCTTCTTCACCTATATACCACGACAAAAAAAAAAAAAAAAATCAAGCTCCTAAAAAGAGTGCAGAGGTTACAGTATGCTAAGTGAAAGAAGCCAGACACAAAAGTCATGGATTGTATGATTGCATTTACATGCAAGGTTCAGAATTGGCAAATCCATAGAGGCAGAGAGCAGATCTGTGGTCACCGGGGCTGCGAGAAGGCAAAGTAGGGAGCGAGCACTTTCTGGGTATGAGGGTTTTTGTGGGGGTGATGAAAATGTTTCGGAACCAGAGGTGGTAGTTGCACATTATGAAATAGTCACTTTAAAATGGCTCATTAAAAAAAAATAAAATAGGGCACCTGGGTGGCTCAGTTGGTTAAGCGACTGCCTTCGGCTCAGGTCATGATCCCGGAGTCCTGGGATCGAGTCCCACATCGGGCTCCCGGCTCAGCGGGGAGCCTGCTTCTCCCTCTGACCCTATCCCCCTCTCATGCTGTTTCTCTCTCTCTCTCTCAAATAAATAAATAAAATCTTTTTAAAAATAAATAAATAAAATGGCTAATTTTATGTTATCTGAATTTCATCTAAAAAATTTTTTAAAGATTTTATTTATTTGAGAGGGAGAACACAAGGAGGGGGAGCTGCAGAGGGAGAGGGAGAAGCAGGCTCCCCACTGAGCAGGGAGCCCCACACAGGACTCGATCCCAG